CCGAAAAAAAGTGAAAACGAGCGAAAAAATTTTAAAAGTTTGAATTCGCGCGCTTTTACTCACCGGGCGGCCTAGAAAAAACCTCGTCCCTAAGGGCTTTCAGCGTATTTTTCGATGCGTTTTTCTCGATGAAGGATTTTTTTTCGAATTTTTTCTTTATTTTTATGTCAATCTACATGCATTTCTGCACATTTTGATGCAATAAAAAATTTCACCGTACACCACCTTTGAATATGTTCATTTGCAACGATGAGTTTCTTCATATTTTTCGAGACAAATGAAATCATTAATAGCTCGGAATATTGCATATGATCCAGTATCTCCTTTTGGACCACATACGGATATTTCGATAGGATCATAATGAAATGTTCTGGAAGTATTAAAAAATATTGTAGAGGAATCAGAATGGTGGTCAGACCAATGACAAACGATTGGAAAAGAAGGTGGGTCACAAAAGAAGGGACATCTGATGACGTGACAGATGACGAATAGGACAGAAGATGTAGAGAGTGCAATGGTTATGATGTTGAATGGTGTATACACTGTCTCCTTTCTCCCGCAGGGATCAACCCTCAACACCTCAATGCATGAGATGACGTGGCAGATGACTCGAGATAGACGCAGAATACGTTATTAGAAATCTCTGCATTATTCGTTTCGTTTTCTGATTATTAAGATTATTTCAATGCAAGTACTCTCATGATAACCAAAATGTATCTTTCCCCTGTTTGTCCATTTTCGGAGTTGAAAAGATAAAGCTGTGTTTTTCGAGGAAAAAGGCTTTCAAAGACTCGTAATACTGAAAAAAACTGAACAAAAATGCTTTATAAAAAATTGAAAATAAAGCAATGAAAAGGTCTCAAATGAATAGCTCATTAAATTAGCTGGTGTATCAAAAGTTATTAATAAACAATTAATCCATAATTCTCAAAAACTCTTCCTCTGTTTTGTCCCATACTCCAAACCAGAGTATCTCCCTCCGAACCTTAATAGATGCTACACGATTATCAGTTGCTCTAACGACATATTTGTGGCTGGTGATTGATTCCGTATGTTTGATTCGACCATACCAATCATATCTGAAAACAATTGATTGTTTTAAAGCTATTCCAAAAAATAACCTACATTTTTGGTAAACTGTGGGTTGGTGGTTGTTTTGTTTCATCTATATATTTTAATCGAATTGCATTCAAAAATCGGACTCGGGGGGTTCTACCCATTTCAATTTTCAAATATTCCAGCTTCTGAAATGCTTCTCCGGATTTCCATCTAATCAAAAACTCGATTAAATCTGAAGTTTTGTATTCGTTGCAATTGATGATAGCCTGTCTTCCTTGAAAATGCCGTAAAACAGCAGGAACAGTAACTTTGTCTTGGTGGATTTCAATCGAATCCGCCTGGTAGAACTTGGACTCTGGATTGAGTGGTTCCGTTATTTCGATGGCGTTCATTCTAATCGATTTGAAAATAGGAGATGAGGAGAAGAAGGTTTCAACTTGTTCCATATTAGCAAAGTCCCAATTGAGCGATGTATTAACACAGAATGATACATTTCGGAGTGGTGGAATAAAAGGATTGTGACCCTTTCTTCTCGAGTATTCTGTTAAGTCTCCCGCTCTCCAATGATACTCCACAGAACTTCCGAAGTAGTCAAGAAAATAATTGTGGATCGATTTGATTACAGATTCCTTTTCAGGCTGACGATAAAATGCCAAACAATATTCGTATTCAAATCTGAAAAATGATATTATTTGTATCATTTCCTGCTCATCGCAACTCACCGAAAATCAATAATCTTTCCAGATACATTCGACTGAAAATAATCATTTTCAGTCTCGCTGTGCACGACAATTCTCATGAATCTGCCTCTGCCCCTATAGCTAAAACACACATTCGCTGAGGATTTGTTCATTAACACCCATATTTGATCCGTACTATCACAGTAATACCCAATAGAATTGATACTTTTAAATCTGTTCATTTGGGTCGATTTAATCAATTTCTTCATCTTTTTCGAGGCAAAGGAAAGAAAAAGTAGATCAATATTATTCAAGTTCTCGAGTATTTCTTGCTGGACCAAGCTCGGATATTTGGATAGAATCATTTTTAGTGTCGTTCTGAAAATATTAAAATAGATTATAGAGAAACACGAATGACGGACATAAAAATGGCAAACGATTTGAAAGTAAGTAGACATGAAGGGACATCTAATGACGTGACAGATGGCAGGTGAGACTCGGAAGACGTAGAGAGTCCGATCGTTATGACCCTGTCTAACACACTGTCTCTTTTGTCTCACATGGATCAACTATCGATTGCTGGGGCAGATGACTCGAGAGGAATACAGAAGAACTTATCAGATGTCTTCATTATCATTAGTTTTTCTTTTTGCTACAATTACTCTCTATGCAAATGCTCATATAAAAAGCTAAATTATGATTGATTTTAAAAAAATTATTTTTCTGTGAAAGGTTCGAAATTTCCAGTTTAATTCAAACTTAAACATTTTGGCCTATTTATATTTACCGTTAACACTCTTAATAGAACGCCACCCGAACCGTCCACTTTGAGCCCATGTATCTCATTTTCTGTGAAAGATATCAAACAGTGGTTAACTAATAATAATAAAATGTTGCTGATATCATGAAACATATTTTATCAGTTGACAATTTTTTGATATCTTTCAAAAGAAGTGTATAGGCTCAAAGTGAACGGTCCGGGTGGCGTTCTATTAGAGTGCTGACGGTATCTTGTTTTCAGAGGGTCTTGGTGATCTAAATGTTAAGAAAAATAGATATCACTTTTATTAGAAAACATAAGTTGTCATCATCAATTGAGAGTTTATTACAGAAGCAAATATGTGTTCATCTTTCAAAACCATCTACACTCCCTATTGTACCCTTTTTATCCTTGGGGTCATCTGCCACGTCATAAGATTCCCCTTCTTTTTCTATTCACTTTCCTATTCTTTTCCAAGCGTTTGCCGTTTTCCTAAACATCATTCTTGTCCTTCTACCATTGCTAAACATTTTCAGAACAACCAGAAAATGATACTATCCAAATATCCGTATGTGGTCCAGAAGGAGATATTCGAGAACATGAAATATTCCGACCTATTTATTCTCTCCCTTGTCTCGAAAAATATGAAAAAGTTGATCATGTCATCTCAAAAGAAGAGATTCAAAAGTATCAGATCAATTGAGTATGAATATTATAGATTGGATGGATCGTGTATGGTACATGTCTTTGACAAACCTAAGAATTCCGAACTGTCGCCAAAATCCGACGACGACGTGATAGTGAAAATTGTCGAACACAAAGGATATGATGATATCCAGTTGAACGTATCTGGAAACATTATTGACTTTAGGGGCCCAGTATCCAAGGGTACATCGAAAAAGGGTACATCGAGTTCTTAGGGTACATTGGTTCCGAGGGTACATTGGATTGTTCGGTACATGTAGGTGGACGAAAAAAGTAAATCAATATTTTTATACATACTATTTTGATTTCTGCTCAAAATTATAGGCTTAGGCTAAAACGCCTTACAGTCTAAGATCCCATGTACCCTCAGAACCAATGTACCCTAAGGAACTCGATGTACCCTCGATGTACCCTTTTTCGATGTACCCTTGGATCGTGGGCCGACTTTAGGTGAGTCACAATGCGCTACAAATTAAAAAAACATATCCTTATTCCAGATTATGCGACGATTACAAATATCTTGTAGCATCCTATCAGGCATGGGACAAAGAATCTGTATTCCAATCGATTCATAACCACTTTCTGGACGTCTTTGGGAATGCGATCAAGTATGACTGGGTAGAACAATTCTGGTGATATTCTGAAGACTTTTTTGTTCCTTTTATTCCAAATCTCAAAAACGTATCATTTTGTATTGGTTTGTATCTCGATGGACATTTTTCGAACGTTAAATACTTTTAAGACTTTTTCTCTTCAAATTGGAGTTGTGGCCGAATTTTTTCTCAAGTTAGGCCACGGGTTTCATGAAGAATTTTCGAAAACACAGCCGGCAAACGAGTGCTACCGTAACCCAGCGATAAATAATTTCGCAATTTTTTGTGCAATTTTTTAATTTTTTTTTTCGATTTTTCTCGATTTTTTCGCTGTTTTTAAGAATTTCGAAAAAAAATGGGAAAAACGGCCAAAGTCGCATCCTTTTTCAGCCGGTTTTTTTCAAATTGAGCTTTTGAGCTACTTCAACAAAAAAAGGATTTTCATAGTTTCTCGAACTTTGTTGTACGTTTGATTGTTGTTTCTTATATGTTTTCTTAATAAAGTTTCGAATACGGGAATGACTCACAGAAGATGTGGAGTTATGGGACGAGACCTATATCATTCGAAAGAGGATTTCATTTTCAAATATATGCTCAGTTTTTGCGGCGGCCTCCGCTAACTCGAGAAATTTGGGTCATAAGTTTTCAGTAGATTTTTCACTGAAATGCATACGTGAACGCTTCCACGTCCTCATTTCTTTTATACGCTTTGAAGAACCATTGAAAAACAGCAGTGGGATGGTTCAGTGTAAAGCGGCGGGATGGGGAAATGGTACTCTATGGTTCGACTCCTTCATAGTCGAAACTCTTTTTTTATTTTTTGTTGGTTTTTTATATGACCTGTTTTTGAGCTCAAAAGCTGTTTTCAGCAGTTTTCCATACTCTAAACACCTTTGGCATCTTGTCAAATACAAATTAACCAAGTTTTTGGAAAAAAAATTTCTGAAGAAAATTCGCATGTTTTCATGATCCATACACCTCTTTTCAAATTTTCCGATTTTTTTATCCTTGGCGGGATTATTCCAGTAGGGTTTCCATCCGGGCGGGCGGTGAGCCGCCCGCTTGCCGCCCGTTCGCCGCCCGTCTATAAAAGCGAGACATAATCGTGGAACTTTTTCAACAATTAATCATCAGTTTGATCATTAGTTTGATTAATTGTTGAAAAAGTTCCACAATTATGACAGGCGGCGAAACGGGCGGCGAACGGGCGGCAAGCGGGCGGCTCGCCGCCCGCCCGGATGGAAACCCTATATTCCAGCTCTTCACACGTTTTCTTCGTTTTTTTTTTGGGTAGAATTTTGATTTATTTCTCTCTTTCTGTTCGATATGTCGTTCAATATAACGCATGTCATGTTTCTTTTGCTCCAAAGATATCCGGATCCGCCTCCAAACAATCCCCGAATATCAAGGAAAGAATCCAAAATTGCCAACCACCTGATTAATCTCATCGAGCATGCTCTGATTGATGATTTGGACATTGAAGAAGATCACGGTCATGCGTTTTCATACCTTCCGTCCCGAAGAAGTTATTCATGCTGATTGACTCTTGGCCCAGTTTCAAGGATCATCAGACAATCGAAAACTGTGTGCCTCGAGGATATGATGTAACGATTCGCAATATTCCTCCAAACACCACTGGTCTCATCCAGCCGCTTGATGCCCACTGGAATGGACCCTGGAAGGTTACACCCTACCAAAAAACCAAAGTTAATTTTTTATTTCCAGAATTTTCTGAAGAAGTTCACCGCCTACGCGCTCATCTTTTATCCCGATTACATTATTGCTCAACGCAATAATGAGATATGGATGATCTCTCTAGTCTACCATCAGTTTTCCGCTAGAGAATTTCAACCATTTTTGAAATATTCTTGGAAAAAGACTGGATACAGTGACTTCTACTCACCGTTTCTAACGCCATCGGAATATTGCTTCGGAAAAGTCGACCACGAGGATTGTTACTCACCAAATTGTCCGAATCTTGCATTCATCAAGTGCTCCAGATGCAAGGAGTTCATATGCTTCGAGCATTTTATTATCAAGGATAAGCATCTGTGCACCTCTGTTTAACTCGTTATAATAATAAATATAGATTTCTTTGTGTTTCAAAAAAATTTTTTTTTGAAAATTTGAAGAGGTGTATGGATCATGAAAACATGCGAATTTTCTTCAGAATTTTTTTTCCAAAAACTTGGTTAATTTGTATTTGACAAGATGCCAAAGGTGTTTAGAGTATGGAAAACTGCTGAAAACAGCTTTTGAGCTCAAAAACAGGTCATATAAAAAACCAACAAAAAATAAAAAAAGAGTTTCGACTATGAAGGAGTCGAACCATAGAGTACCATTTCCCCATCCCGCCGCTTTACCACTGAACCATCCCACTGCTGTATTTTTTTTGAATTTTTTCTTTATTTTTATGTCAATCTACATGCATTTCTGCACATTTTGATGCAATGAAAAATTTCACCGTACACCATCTTTAAGCAACAGTAAAACTATTGTTAGCACTTTGAAACTTTTTCGAGCAATGGATAAACTTTTCTAAGCAACAACGAAACTATTCTAAGCCCTTTCATAAAATTTTTTTCATAAAATTTTTCAGCCGTGGCTAATCTTGTTTATGGCTCAGAAAGGTTTTCCGAACTATCTGAGAAACCGAAAATAATTTGAATTTCGTCATTCTCCACGAGGACTACACCATGGTTGAGTACGCGAACACCGTCGCCCAAACTTGCAGAATTGTCGTCAGGTATGGTGTTACCATAAACTTTAATTTTCCAAAATTTTTAGGACAAACTTTTGAGCGGGAATTTCCGAATTTTCGTTTGCTATTGGCGGGAAATTTCTTCATCTTGTTTCTTTCTAGCTTAATCTTTCTCATTTTTCACTAAGTGACCCAGCGAATCGTTGTTTTTCAGCTTTTCTCTCGATTTTCGTTTTTGATGTTTCTACTCATTAATGAGCTCATTTCGCTCCTTTTTACAGCTTCATCATTTCGAATTTCGAACTTTATAGTTTTTTCAAACTTGCAGGCGATGAAAACCCTACTTCCCGTGTCACTAGCCCTTCTGGTCGGGCTGTCGAATGCGGCGGATTTTCGTTCGCTTCTCGACATGTGTTCGAATCCACCAGCCGAACAAAAGCAGATCAGTGACAAGATGGCACTTCCAGAAGCCTATAAGGTAGGTTTTTCTTCATGAAAAACGCAGAATGAACTCAAAATTCTTTCAGATCATGGGCTCAGTGACAAACTGGAAGGAGGGAAAGACGTCGCTTCTGCAGGAGACCGCCACGAAAGAATTCCGAGTTTTGGAGATTCAAGCAGACAATTTATCGCAAAAATGGATCCAAATGTCGAGCGGAGACAGACGCATTGAGTACATCGCCAGCAACGGTACCTGCGATGACAAGGCTGCTCCACCTGCGATCCTGAAAGTTCCAAGGTTCGATAGCATCATCGGACGAAACACCTCATCTATTGCCAGTATCGTTGACGGAATTATCAACTTTATTAGGAACAACAACGGATTCTATGTGAAGAACAACATTGAGATCGTAGGCGGAGTCAATGCAATGAAGTGGGTGTCTTGTGTGAATGGAAGGAACGCGAGCGACACAAAAGTACTCGTGGAGCTAAGATTCGGAGGCGATGACTCGATTCGGCCAGCTCTCAAGCAGTTCTCAAATCCAATTCTTCTTTCAATTCGTCTCGCTGAACTAAAGGACTTCAACACCACGATGCCAGACAATCACTTCTCCATCGAATTCGATCGGTATGCAATCCCACGTGGCGATGAGCACAAAGCTCAGATTGCTCATGGATTCTTCTGTGAGAATAGAAATGAGGTGGATCTGGGTTTAAAGCCACTCAGCGAGTACGCGGCTACCCTTAGCTACTACAACTACAAGAATATGACACCAGAAGTCGTGGAAGTTCTCTACTCGCAAAAGAAGAAGATCTTTGTAGTGGCAGGAGCCTCTTTCCGAAACTTCCTCAAGTCTTTCAACTATTCCGCAGGAGTTGACTATATCCTCCACGACTATAATTACGGATACGAGTTTACGATGAAGAATGGATCATGTGACAGCTTCGGACCGGCACCAAATGATACAAGTGATGCGATTGTGGACAACACGACGGCCATCTTCATGCAAAGAATGGAGGATCTGTTGGTGGATCCAAAGTTACGTTGGATGCCTTACCAAGACACTATCGATCTCGCTGGGAACACTTACAAGGCATACCGAGCCCTAGATAGTGCCGGTGTTGAGCAATACGGTGTTGAGCAAGTCGTGGAAATCCACCTCACTCAGGATGGATACGTTCATGCCATCAATCGATATGACCACGAAACTAACGAGATTGTGCAGTCTATGATGGTGACTCGTTGGGATGTCGCAACCTCCGAGCTGAACCTTGCAATGGTCCAAATGACCGGATGTTATGATAATGGAAAATTCGCCAATAACACTTGGATTGTTCCGATCAAAGATAGTGAGTTTTCGAAACGAAATTTGCCCTTTTAAACTCTCAAATTTTCCAGAGAACATCCGCAACTTGCACAGCGTCGGACTGAGCAATCTGAACAAGGTCGTCGCGGAGACCATCTCGAAGAACGTCTACGCAGTCATCCCCTACAGAGTCATCGTGTTCTACTTGGAGAGTAATGGCGGTGGACTCTCACTGCTCCTTCGTTTAGCTGAGAAGACCGATGTGGTGCCAGCAGAAGTCGGATATAATCACACGAACGAACTAGCCACTTTCGATTTGTTCAATAAGATGAAAAAAGCCATGTTCTCCGGGAAAATGCCGATTGTAGTGGAAGTTGGAGGACAGAAGGAGGTATAAATGCCTAATTAAATCTTAAATGTCTAATTTTGGATTTCTAGGAATGGTTCGTCGATGTCTCCGGAATCAAGGCCTTCCCAGCCGACACGGATCGTCAATTCCTCGGCTACACAGGCGGTGCGATGTTCGTCCTCGGCGTCTTCTGCATCATCTTCGGTGTGGGATTGGGAGCCGGCGGTTTCGTCGCCTATAACCGTCGCGAGCATCTCTCCCAGATTGCATATAGAGTTTTCTAGTGAATTTTTCTTTTCTCCACAACCCCTTCCTTACTTGTCACATGTTTTTACATCATCTTTTCTCTCACACGCTTTGGTAGAATACTCATATAATTCTGTATATAGTTTGTACCTCTCTCTCCCCTTATCGTGTATCATTTTTCACATGTGTATGACAACAAGATCTTTTACTAAACCCTTTTGAAGTTCAAATTCAAGAACAAGCAGTTTATTGCGTGATTAGAGTTTGGAAAATTTTGGCCTAGAAAAAAAGAAATTTTCAGAAAAAAGTGGAATAATCAAAAACAGATTGGGCAAAAAAAAAACAAAAGATTGAGCTCGGAGCCAGAGAGAAAGATCGCCAGCGACCCGATATGACAATAGCAATTTGGGAACATTGAGAGATAATTGGTTGAAACAAATTGACTTGACTTTTTGATAATCAGCTAGAATCCATTGATAGTGACACCATTGTCTTCGGCTTGAGCTGAAAATTTTTGAAGTGGAATTGAAAAAAAAAAGCAAAAGCGCTCCACCGTACTCAAGGTATTTCAATTTTCATGTGCAATTTTCGAATAAAAACGTGAAAGTTTGAAATTTCGAATAAAAACGTGAAATTTTTCATTTTCGAATTTCAAATTTTCACGTTTTCATTCGAAAATTCAAATTCCATGTCACGTTTTCATTCGAAAATTCCACGTGAAAATCGAAATACCCAAAGTACGGTGGAGCGCGTTTTGCTTTTTTGCACGTGTTTTTGAGACCCCATAAATTCCGGATAAAA